TGTGTCATCTAGGTCCATCAACTTTTAAACTGTATTTTTAGGTCCATTAACTTTTGGTGGTGTATCATACAGGTCCATCAACTTTCAAACCTGTATTTTTGGTCCATTAACTTTTGGTGTTGTGTCATCCAGGTCCATCAACTTTTAAATTGTATTTTTGGTCCCTAAAGTTTTTAACTGGTTCACCAGAGAGATCCATACCACTTCGTTTAGCGAATAGATCTGACATGGTACGCCAAATAAGCGAACAGGGTGATGGATTCATGCATTATGTAAGCATGATCTAATCCGGACGTAATTAAGCAGATTATTGCAAACATGTATACTACTAGCTACAACGTACAGCGTACGCGGGGATCTGGATTCTGGCAAGTCGCTTGGATTGGAGATGGAACGAAAAATGATTCCGGCAAATGCATGGATGCGTGCACACGCACCACCAGCTAGTCAGCACAATCGTCATGATCACGCTACATTTTGCAGCGAACATGCCATGTTTGGGACATATTTGCACAAGACCCGGTTGTAGATTAAGCGGCCGTGCAGTGTACAAGACCCGGAATTCTCAACTAATGTTTGCAGGCCAAACTTCTACAGTTCTACTCCCCTTTCTAAAAGGGTATTGGCCATTTCTCGAACTGTATAACTTACATCGTAGTTCGGTTTTTAATTCTAAACTATACGATACCAGGTAGTAGACGTCCTTCAACTGACAATTTGTAGTTATCTGGTAGGTTCCAAAAGGTGGTTTTCTATTTTCTAAAAATAACAAAAATCTGGTTAATCTCTAAAATATTCATAACTTACTATTTGTTTTAAATAACAAAATATTAAACTAGTGCCATTTTTTTTGTCTAAAAATGTTTCTCAACGTGTGTGCGAGAAGTTTCTTCTTCATGTAATCATGCAATGCCATGGGAGCAGTTTTTCCCCGTGGGTCAGAGTTTTTTTTAGTGCGGCACTTTGAATCTGATTTCCTGACCATCAGTGCTGCAAATTAAATGAAACCTGCAAAAATACAGCCGATCGGTACATTGTGGCTTAAGGCCAAGGCCACGTTTAGTTGCCTGAATTTGGCGCCGCCAAAAAACTCTGTAGCTACACTGTAGCATTCCGTTCGTATTTGGTAATAATTGTCCAATCGTTGACTAATTAGGCTCAAAACGTTCGTCTCGTAGAGTACAACCAAACTGTGCAATTAGTTTTTGATTTCGTCAACATTTAGTACTCCATACATGTACCGCAAGTTTGATGTGACGAGAAATCTTCTTTTTGCATAGTATCAAAGTTAGAAATTTAGATTGAACTAAACACATGGCCCAAATAATGTCGATGGGAACACTGGGGTTAGTCGTACACTTCGGGAGAGGCCGGGTGAAGAAGTCCAGCAGTGACGAGTGTCAGTGGACGGCCAGCGGCGCATGCAGGCTAGCTCTCGGCAGGTGGAAGTACAGGTCTCTACAGGCAACCCGTGGAAAGCGAGAAAGGAAGGGAACCCACACACAACTCTGGTTATTGCTACTGTGCCTATACGATCTCACGGTCGAATTTAAGAGGTATTAGGTGCATGACTTAATGAGTACGTACGTACAGGTACAGGTACACGTACTACTCCTATTACCTCTTGTGTCCTGTACTAATAATATTGCATACTCCAGGAAAGCCACCATGGCCCTTTGCATGCATCTCCCCAACCAAATGCTGCAGCAGAGCCACCAAGGTTTCCGGCTATTCAATTCCTGCCATCTGCGTACTCTGGGGACAACCCAGCAGGACGACTCGTTCTGGTCCTGGTTTCTACCGCCATGGATAAGTCGACTGAAACTGATTTATTAAAAGAGAAAAACACTATAAGTTCAAGCTTAACATGTAGCTCTTCCGCCGCTACCACGTTCCATAGCCACCATTTCGATCGCACACATACAAGATACCAAGGTATGTTATGTCTCAGACTACTTCGCTCCATTATTTAAGCTCCGTTTTCAACTTCCTTAGCCAAACAAGACAGTTCAACGAACTCCTGCTCTAGAAAAAAATTACCGCCAACTTCTAGGCTTTTTATGCAACACCCAAAGGTATACTCCACAACCTTCAGATTTTTTTTAGATGTGCTTAATGATGGAGTTGGTAAAGCAGAGCTGGTTTCGATGAAGTAGAGTAGCCCTAAACAGACCCTAAGGTATGTGTGTTTTGAAAAGAACCTCCAGCTAAACTTTGGCTATAGTTTGATTAATGTCTTCTATTATGCTATTTTGGTTCGTGTTTCATACTACCTCAGCTATAAAAGAACTTGGTAGATTCTAATGATTTCGATTGTGTCCTAAAAATAATATCATTTAGTTAGGCCATGTACACTAAACCTGCAACCATTTTGCGTCCAACCACTAGCCTTTGTAGCCCCTGAAAACTAAAATGAACCCCTAACTAGTAAGGACATCGATCTATGGTCATTTCACATACCCCTATTCGAAAGTTCCGATCCTAAACCTGACAAGTTGTCCGCTAGCAGTGTGACCTCACTTTGAATATCACGTACAGTAACAAATTTTGCTAATCAACTCACTGAAATCTGACTAAGGCCCTGTTCGGTTAGTCCAGATTCCCCAAATTTTGTTCCAAATGATGAAATCTTATATAAATTAGAGAAGAAATCCAGCTAGGAATTGTTCCAGGGTCAAATCCGTGACAACCAAACGAGGCCTCAGTTGATGCGGCACGTAGGCAGGCAGAGCTGCCGCCGCATCGTCGACAAGCAAGGGCAGCGGCGGCAAGCAAGAGCATGCATCGCATTGCATGCGCGCTTCATCAATGTGGCCAGCCCTCCGCGTCCGCCTACTAGGCATTGATCGATGTGCGGGACCCAGCAGCCAGTGAGGCTTCCACGGCTCCACCCACGCCTCACTCCTCAACTAAAACTCATGGCGTGGCGGTTTGGCTGGTCGCTGGTGGACGCACTACGTCTGAATATGATTGCGTCCGTGCAGGCACGCACGGGCACGAGTACGGCGCGTCACTCATGGCGTGACTGGAGTATGATCAAGGCGTGGCGTGATGCTATGGTTAAGGAGGCCTTGTCTCTGGGATAAGACTTGGTTCAAACCTTATAAACTACAGTCTACAAATATCAGTATCCACCGGTACATCATTTACTTTGAAAATATCAAGTACTCTCTCTAGCTAATATCCACAAGTTTATAAGGCATTTCACATGAACCGAGACAAACTTTATAATCGTTGACCGATAATTTGATGAATAACTTTTAACTGTTGTAATTCAAACTTAATACTATTAGATTTGTAATCCAATGTACTGCCTAATAATCATAAACTTAATCACGAACAATATATATAATATAAAATAAAGAAATGGTCAAAGTATGATTTATGAGACCATGTTATATTTTTTTATGACGCCTTATAAACTGGAACCATATATAGGGAATATTATTGACCAAATAGTAGTTTCTTTTGAGTTTTTTTAAGCTAAACTTACTTTTAGTAATTAGAGGCTCTAAAGCGCTTAAAATGAGGAAGGAATGGGGCCATTGCAATCTCTATCCAAGAGTGCCACACCAGCCAAAGGGGAAACTCTTTGATAAACTGAGAGTAAATACCGTGTTGTAGAATTGTAATAGGTGACACTTTGTAAGAGTCACCATTCACCAACACAAACCAAGCAAGGGCCATCAGCCCATCACCAAATGTTTCCTTGGCTCTTGGGTCATCATCCTGTGACCCCTTAATTGGTGACGCTTCAGGAAGGTTCAATACTGATCAAGTGATCAACAGACTGAAGGAAGCAAATTAAAAGGTGACTAGATGATCATCTGTGCTGTGTGTCGTGGTGTCTACTGGTACTCCATTATCGATCTCGTCTTCCATCCACAAACGTCTGACTTGTTTGTAAGGAAAAACCAAAGGCTCCCCTTTTAATTTGTCCCGTGCGTCCGCCGGTGTAACGACGGCCGATAAAAGGCCATGGCGAACATGCAAAATTAACGTACGTATGAACCAATTAAAGACGGCCACCACAGTTCGTTGGCGCGCCATAAAGTGTTGCTGTCGCATACAGAACTGACGCTAAAAATTGAATTGCCTGTCGATGTTCCTTTTTTTCAATCTTATTAAGCCTGCGACGACGATTTGTTGAACCACGGGGGCCGTACTTGCCTCCGGTGGATCATGAGGCCCCGGACCATCTCTGCCCTTTTTCTCTAGCTGTCTCAACCGTCCGGTCGATTAGCAATTCAATGGCTCAAATTAAAGTGATGCGTAATTATGGGAGGGAGGGAGGCATCCAATCTTATCGTACGCCGTGTCGCCTTGTGTGTCAGTATGTGTTCTTTTCCCCAAAAAAATTTACTACGTGTACACTTTCAGCTCATATATGTGGTCGATTTTTTATTTTTAACTCAAATGCATGTAAATCTCAACAAAAGAAAAAACTCAAGTGCATGTAGTTTGCTGTTTCTTCACGAGCCAAAAAAAAAAGTGGAGCTGCCAAGCTTATACGTACTACTTGTGATAAGCTCTACTGACAAACCCCAAAAAAAAGATTGCTTGCGGTAAGGCCCGGTTTTGTCTCTCCCCGACTGGTAGGTAGTTTGAGTTGTGAGCAGGCAGTTCGCCGTTTGAGCCTTTGTATCACGGTCGTTGATTCATTTCTGGTTTCTGTGACCGATAAGTCAGCTAAAACTAATTTATTGTAAGAGAAAAATACTATTACGTGTACCGGTAACTAAACGGCACGGAAAGCGATAGCCATAGCGACGAGGAGTGGCGCCACCGCCAATAAATAGGCGCCCGGGTCATCGGCCAACCCCCATCGCCCCCTGCTCATCTCATCTCTCTCTCTCTGGCTGCACTCCAGTCAGATCGGATACATCACTAGTAGCCGCGTGCTCATAACTGTTTCCCATCCATCCTTGAGCCTCCCGCTCCCAGGGTAGTACAGGGTACAGGAACGAACAAGCAGAGGAGATCGAGAGCTGCTGATCGAGATGGCCGGAGGCGGCGACCACAACTCCCAGACGAACGGAGGTCACGACCAGAGGGCCATGGAGGAGGGCAGGAAGGAGGAGTACGCTGACCAGGGCTGCGCCGCCATGGTCGTCTCCGTCCCATTCATCCAGAAGGTACGGAGGCACTGTGAGATGAGATCTGCCAAAACTACTCCGTCTTCTTCGGCTCTTTCCCCGGCCCGGCCGCCGCTAATTACTCTCCCTCCCTCCCTCCCTCCCTCTCTCTCTCTCTCTCTCTCTCTCTCTCTCTCTCTCTCCCATATGTTCGCGGAGATATGGAACGTCATGGTCATGGCTGCAGATCATCGCGGAGATCTTCGGCACCTACTTCCTGATGTTCGCGGGTTGCGGCGCGGTGACGATCAACGCGAGCAAGAACGGGCAGATCACGTTCCCGGGGTGGCCATCGTGGGTCTGGCCGTCATGGTGATGGTGTACGCCGTGGGCCACATCTCCGGCGCGCACTTCAACCCGGCCGTCACCTTCGCCTTCGCCACCAGCGGGCGGTTCCCGTGGCGGCAGCTGCCCGCGTACGTGCTGGCGCAGATGCTGGGCGCCACGCTGGCGTCGGGCACGCTGCGCCTCATGTTCGGGGGGCGGCACGAGCACTTCCCGGGGACGCTCCCCACGGGGTCCGAGGTGCAGTCGCTCGTCATCGAGATCATCATCACGTTTTACCTCATGTTCGTCATCTCCGGCGTCGCCACAGACAACAGAGCGGTAAGCGGAAATGAGGATGATGATGATGATCTGTTTTTTTATCTTTTTCTTCTTTTTGTTTTTCCTTGATTTTCATGCTATTGATCGACTGTGTATCTGCAGATCGGGGAGCTGGCAGGGCTGGCCGTGGGCGCAACCATCCTGCTTAACGTCCTCATTGCCGGGTAACTACTCTACGTATCACTCTTCATGACGTACTATATACATGGCCTCAAATATATATTTTCTCCAAATATTACTCCTAAGTAGCAGTAATTACTAATTAGTAGGGCATTTGCATGAACTAGCATGCATGACATCAGCCGGGTTGTCACAGGAATAACTTTAAGCTTTTTAACTTTTCACACTGCGTGCACAACGTGACAAACTATCGACCAGACAGTGTTTTCCCAAGTAAAAAAAAAAACCAAATACCAAAAGAGAGAATAGAATAGAATATGTAGTAGGGCTTTGTTGTGGGTGCCTCTGTCGGTAGCAGGGTTTTATGGAGCCATAAAGACCGTCATGTGAGTAGAGAGTAGTCATGGCGTACTAGCAAGAGCAGCTACTAGCTTTGATGAGTGTGGGTCGTGGAACACCGGTGCAATGCCATTAATGTGAACGTAATACCACTCCTGTCCTGCTAGGCTGCTAGCCTGTCTGAGTGGTAGGGCCGCCTATGTGTGTGCAGAAACTGCATACTAGTATGCAAATGTACTCAGGTCCCGTTTGGTTTCTATATGAAATCATAAAATTTATATCACATTGAAT